CCCTCGTGTAGCTTTGCGCGAAATTCAAAAACAAAAAAAACAAAACAAACTACTCAGTTTTATCATTTCGAAACATCTTGCATTTGTACACAGTTTTATGGACCCAACTCTTCTTGCATTGATAGTCAAATTTATCTACCCACCACTTTTTGACTGTATTACTTACTTTAATCATTCCAACACTTCTTGCATTGCTACTCAGGTTTATGGATCTGCCCTTTCTTTTATTGGTACATAACTCAATCAGTCAGTCATTTCTTGCATCGGCCCGGCATAACCAGGTGATTAGGGCGGTAGACTCGCAATCTGCGGGTCGCGAGTTCGAATCCCCGTCCCATCAAATATGCTCGCCCTTTCAGTCGTGGGGGCGTTATAATGTGACGGTCAATCCAACTATTCGTTGATAAGAGAGTAGCCCAAGAGTTGGCGGTGGGCGGTGATGATCAGCTGCCTTCCCTCTAGTTTTTCACTGCTAAATTAGGGACGGCTAGCACCAGAAACCCTCGTGTAGCTTTGCGCGAAATTCAACAACAACAACAATAAATTTTGCATTGTTGTCAGTTTTATGAGTGTGAAAACTTCATGTTCTGGCACTTGGTTTTTACCTATATAACACAACTCGCGTTGGCACTCGGTTTGATCTAAATAATTCTTCTTCTACTGGACTTTTCTTTATAATTCTAGCACTTATTACATTGGTACTCAGTTTTGTCAGTCCGACATTTCTTATATTGATACTCAGTTTCAACAGTACGAAATTGGGTATTCACTTGTTTCGTTCCTATATGTCTTGCATTACTAATTTGTTTCATCAAAACAACATCACTTGCGTTGGTACTCAGATTCATCAGACGGACACTTCTTGCATTGAAACTCATTGCATCATTCAGATATGTCTTTTTATTAGTACTCGGTTTTATCAGTCGAACACTTCTTACCTTGGTCCTTAGTTTTATTAATCCTGTGCTTTTCACATTAATAGTCAGTTATATCAATATGATACTTCGTGTATTGGTGCACATTTCTATTAAAATGACATTTCTTCTATTGATACTCTGTCTTATAAATGTGAATGCTTCTTGTACTGGCACATGATATTGTATATATAACACTTCCTACATTGATACATAGTATTATCAATCTTACAATCCTTGAATAATATAATTCCACCTTTCATTTTCTGTTGCATTAAATTCCGTACTTTTTATTTTAAGGTTATATTGAAGTAAGTGGTATATAATTCTGATCACCATTTCCCATTTAGTTAAAATATTTATGTATTCATATTCTATTTTAAATTATAATCACGTAATTAATTCCTTTATGACTTAACAATTGTTACAGTAATTATTTCATATGCAGCATAACAATATCTCTGAGTGCTTTTATTTTGTATTGAAATATTATTCGGACTTATTGACATAAGAATCACTACAAATAAGACAAAACTACGTATAAATAATATGGAGAGATAATGGAATATTTCATCACTTTTTTTTTAGCTTGAAGTAGCTTAATGGTACGCTTAAGGACTTATATCGTTAAAAACCGGATTTTGATACCCGTGATGGGCACAGCACAGATAGCCAGCCCATTGTGTTGCTTTGTGCTTAACAACAAACAAATGAATTGTTTTAGAAAACAATATTTAAGAACGATTGATTTCTTAGGATTTGTTTATATTATAGATTTGCGCAGTTACTTGTAAAGTAACTAATACGAACTATTTACGCGATTTTCAAAAATAATAACTTGATGAGCAGGTTATGGATATTCTATATATTAGTTACGCTGCTTTAATAACAGTTTTTTTATATAAATGTCTATAGAGTGCAAGGGCAACGGTTTTACACAACAATTATTGGTACTTTGCCTTATATTTGAATTCCTTTCAGTTTTTCGTATTCTCATCGGATTGTTCTTTAAAGCTCACGAAATATGATGTATAGATGTCTTGTTACACATTCCACCTCGAAATGATGTATAGATGTCTTGTTACACATTCCACCTCGAAATGATGTATAGAGGCCTTGTTACACATTCCACCTCGAAATGATGTACAGAGGCCTTGTTACACATTCCACCTCGAAATGATGTATAGAGGCCTTGTTACACATTCCACCTCGAAATGATGTATAGAGGCCTTGTTACACATTCCACCTCGAAATGATGTATAGAGGCCTTGTTACACATTCTACCTCGAAATGATGTATAGAGGCTTTGTTACACATTCCACCTCGAAATGATGTATAGATGTCTTGTTACACATTCCACCTCAAAATGATGTATAGAGGCCTTGTTACACATTCCACCTCGAAATGATGTATAGAGGCCTTGTTACACATTCCACCTCGAAATGATGTACAGAGGCCTTGTTACACATTCCACCTCGAAATGATGTACAGAGACCTTGTTACACATTCCACCTCGAATAGTTGCAAATTATACAGTATTTTATTCCGTATTAATTACGTCATTGCCACTTGAGGAGATTATTCAAGTTAATAAGTTTTCCCGAAAATATTAAGTGTTTATTATACTAATTTGTTAAAAATACTGTTACTCACATTATGCGTACACTTCTATATCCATTGGAAAGGCACAAATACCATTTGAAGTTTGATTAATTGAACTTGTGACAGCAATCACTGAACACAATATGAACATCATATATGTATATGAATTTGTTAGTTTGCAAAACTTACATTTTCATTCTAACAATTTACACATATAATTAACTTTCTGGACGATAATGTTGATGAAGTTTCTAACCTTATTATAATTATTATATAAAGATCAAATATTATCAAAAGGCACTGAACTTGAAGTTTTTCTTTTATTGAAAATATCATGTTACAACAACTTGAAGAACATGAAAGTGCACCTATTATATTTTACTGTTAACAGTACGATGAAGACTCATACTTGATATATATATATATTACTATGATCATAATAGTCTTTTAGTTAAACAGCAAAATAGTTGTGTTGTTAACATGACATGTGTATCCAAATGGCAGGTGGCCCTTATACAAATGTTACAAAACGAGTATGAGTTTCTTCTAATGAAGTATATGAAACTTGTATGATATCTTTATATATAAACTGACCCGAATAATCCCTTATAAGTCATTGCACCTACATGTTATTATAAAATTATTTTCTTCGCTAGACTTCACGGCGATGACTACTAGTAATCTGCCGCAGCTACACTCACTATATTTAGCATCAACAGCAGTCTAAGCTCGCATTTAATATAGCTGTACTAACCTTGTCAGAATCTCCCTTCTTTTTTATGTCTATGTGTGTGTCTTGGCTTAAGATGCAAAAATCTTTCGTAGTTGCCATGACAACACATTCTGAGAAGATTGTCAATTGCTCCTTTTTCAGAAGTAAACATACCGCCACACTTAATAGCAGCATTTAATGTTGTTGCTATGGTTACAATGGCAAGTCGCCATATCTGTCTGGATGCGGACCCTGGGGAGTAAACAGAAGATGCTGTAAACAAGAAGCCCAGAGCACCCGGTCACCATGGGGATGAAAACAGCTAGGTTTCTATGCATTGTGGTATATTTGTCCAACAAGACAGTGGTTAATTCCTGGTGGTGGTTGTAAAGCAAACTACATATTCCCAGAGGTAATGAAACTAAGAAACTTAATACTAAAATAGCGTGTTTTTTTTGTTTTGTCTATGTCGTACTAGGAACGATAAGTTCAGATCATGTACAATTACATCACGTGCAGCAGGTGCAAATTGATTGTATGTTAGATAATGAAACTTCAATACATGAAATAAAAAATAGAAAATTATAGAAATACGTGGACGCGTTTGATTCTATTTTTGGCAATTTTAGCTATAAACACAGCAGTTTTTGTTCCCATGACCTCTGTTTTATTACAGAATATCAATCTTATAGTACTATTGTTATTTCAAACTTAAAAGTTGGGTGTTTTTTCTTAGCGTAAAAATATTATTTATAATGTATGAGTTTATTCAGTGAATGACTACTATAGTACGTTACTATTAAAGTTAATAAGATTGTGGGGTACATGGAGCCTTACCATCTCTGTACTGTACGGAGAAAATGCGCTTACATCAATTTAATATAGAACCTTATTGTTCTACTCACACTTAAGAATATTTCATTATACAATATTTTGACTGTAGTCTAAGTTCAGATACAGTAACTCATCTCAAAAGAGACACCTAGTTTGATCACATTTTTATAAAATGGCCCATAGCCAGAATGTCTCACAATAAAAAGTAATGTTAAAACAGTCAAGACTTCATATAGTGCATCATCATGTTTAAGTTCGTCAACTCAGTTTAATGCATTGTTTGATAAATAACCAGTAAAAAAACAGTCAATTTTGTGAGGCGTAGAGTATACTGAGGCAAAACGCAAAACAGTTATGTGACTTGTTGTAAGATTATACCAGATAAGGTAAAATTTAAATATCACAAAAATATAGTAGTTAAACGTGGTTTGAACAAAACGAATAAATTATAATAAGTATGATTGAAGACAGTGTAATGTTAAGTTAACACTGCGTGTTCATGCTACTAACCTATTTTTCAGACTTGAATTTCGATGCATGTAACCATAAACCCCTTCTTGGTTAAAAATTAAACATTTATATGTGCAAATGACGTTTTGAAGGTTCTAAAACTACTTGGGCTGCCAAATAGCTTTTCAGTAGAAGGTAACTGTGAAACTAGCTGCCAATAATGTATGTACAGATTTACAGTTGGTAATAGATTAAGCTATATGGTTACTACATGAATATGTGCTAAATTAAAAATGTCTACAGATATGTTACAAACATGCCAACTAACCATATGATTATTACATTAATAGAGAGTAGACTGAAACACGTCTACATGTGTGTGAAAGCATTCCAATTAATCGTATAGTTACCGTATGAATGGGTGGTAAATCAAAACATGACTATATATAATGTAATATGCACGCTAATTAACAATGTGTTTAATGCATGAAAGGTAGGTGAGTGAAATATGTGTACAGATGTGTTATAAGCATGTCGATTGATAATATAGTTACTTCATGAATGAATGGTAGACCGTAACATGTCTACAGAAATGTTAAAACCATACGATTATTGCACGAATACAGGGTAGACCAATACATGTCAACATCTATGCTAGAAGTATACTGTAGTTGGTTACAACTCTGGAATTAAATGCTTTCACTTAGTAACTAATGAGAAATAGTTGATTCCATCGTCATAGCTTTTTAAGAAGATGACTTAACACAAAGTCGGCTTAAATAAAGAATAAAGCTAAGCACAAGCGAGAGAAGGTAACCAGAAAAATGTCAAAATCTGCTGAAAGATACTGTTTATAATGGTGTAGACAGGTGACACGTAACATTTACTATTATCACCTATCTAGAACCAAATGTACTGTACGATACAGACAATATGTGGCCAGAAACTCACTGAAGAGATGTTGTTAATCTTAATCAGTTGTATAATAGGAAATATTCCTGGTGTGAGATTATTAAATACGAACACTTTCTTGGTTGTATCATTTTCAGTTAATAAACATGATACATATAACATTTAGATTCCTAATAACGAGGTAGACTGATCAGTAAGTAGCCTTACAAAACATGTCTTTATACTTGAATAAAGAGGATGTTGCTGCTCATTGTAACGGTAAATAATTTGGTAATGCAAAAAACGAGAGGTTTACGGAATTTTTTTCATAATGCCCAGGAACACGTATATTAAACATAGTAATGCAGCTCAAAATACTTTGATTTATTCTGTAGCAACTGTAGAAACTTATGGAATCCCATAAAGTTAAGTTTATAAATCGTTTGACGAGCTCGAATTATGGTGCGTAGCCCATGACACAATGCTTTAATTTTTTACTTCATACTGAAAGAAGACACCTGCATGGTAAAGTAAGGAAATATCATGATATCATAGTCGAATGTAAGAAAAAAAAATAGATGAAAGATGGTGTGTGAGAAGAATGCGTCAAGTTTTACAACGGTTTGTGTGATTCTATATGTAATTGTACATGTTCCGTAGTCAAGAAAACATATTTGTTAATATGCATTATTAAGCATTAAGAAACACCATACTTTGTTTCTAAGTCAAAATCGTTCTTCCTAAGAGTTACTACCAAAGACAAGTAATTACACAGCCTGAAATGCCGTCTTCTAGACTACGGTCACAATCTTTGATGCTGGTTATTCACATCAACAAAAGCAACAAAAATGAAAGCCAAAAGTGAGACGTTTTCAACAAACACTTAAAATATTTATCAATATTCTATTGGATTGTATAATAATAATCTTTAGCAAACATACTGACGTGAGTCTAAAATATAGAACGTCATGAGGAAAACTAAGATCAATATTTTTTAAATAGGCGAGATTACGATGGTCCATTAGATAACGGCAATGAAAAAATACAAAACTTTTGGGTTAACGCCAAAATCTTTAGTGAAAACGTTGGTAAGAAAAGAAGACCGATTGCAATAATTCAACGTATGAAACAAAACAATTTTACGAGGGTATTTCCGGCATTAGTAAAGACATGAACTGTCTGAATTTATTTGAAATTACTCAAATTTTATTTTATAATACTTTGTTTTGTGGGTGCCTGTGTAAAGGATACTAACCTTACAAAGCAATAAATATTTGACGATATTCGGTGCTGTGCTGAGGTTATGTTTTGATTTGTTTTTTCTATGCATTAAATTTTGCGCAGTGAGAGATTACAGGGAAAGAAGCTAGTCAAAATCACGCACCGCCAACTCGCAGGCTACTATAATTGATTAGTGGGCTTCCAAGACTATATTTCATCCGACCATAGACAATAAGACCATTAGGACTGCATAATAGAATGAAAGGCATGTAATCGAATGAGATTTCAGTTTATGTGTACATTTCTTCTCAAGAAAAAAGCTGTTAGTTACGATGTAGGTCTGGAAGCTCGTGAAGGTTTGTTTCGTCAGCTTTAAACTCTTGTTTATTGATATATATGCCAAGCTCTAACACAATGATGTTTGGGGGGCTTTTTTTGGGTCGTACCGTAACCTTCAATATACGGATAAGGGTGTTACCTCAGGTTGGCTTAAGACAGGGTTTGGGAGCCATATAATTAACACTTTTAAAAATATGAATGACTCGGGTTCCAAAATGATTACTGTTCGTCTAGATTGTTGTTCGACATTATGTATATATTGGTAATGTATATAAATGGATGAGAGAGAAGTAAAAATATTTTAAACATTTTTTATAGTTAGTTGGAAAAATAAATAATCAGTAATCAGCAAGAAGTATTAAAGTTGGTTACATTAATAATGTAATCACAATTTGTACAACAAAAAAAGCACATGTGGAATGCGTGAATTCAACTCAGCATAATTACGAATTAACATTTACATATATATAAGATTTTATGTATGATTGTATGAAAAATTCATATAAATGTGAGAATCCTAACCTACTCTGACGCAATAGTAATTAGTAATAATAAACTGATGCATATATATAAACATGTATACGCTGATTCACGACGCAATCAACAGTCATATAAGAAAAATCCAAGTTCTTAAATCATACCAAAACATATTACATCTTTTATTAGTTGTTGTTAATTCACAATTTGATGAAACATTAGAATGTTCACGTTCAACAGATTATTCAATATTAATAGCAAATCATAATTTACACTGTGTTGGCAAGATTGATATGGTTAGAAATGAATTCAGACCAGTAAATAATTACAGACTCTTCAAAACTAATTTACAGCTAATACATAAAAGTGAAGAGCGTTGAAGAAGAGCTTATATATTAGTATCGTTTGGACTAACACGGTTGATCATTAAGTTATCTACTTTGTTTCTTGTCTAGAGATGAGATTTTAAAATGCTTTTTTAATTGAAAAAATTTTAATGTTTGCTTTACTGATATTATAATGTATGATTTTCGGAAAACAAAGATACTCCGAAACTTTTTACGAAAAGCTTAGAAAATTGGAAGTATTTTAACACAAACACGTGACTACATACACATTATTATGAGTTTTATGAAACAACTAATATGAAGTTTAAGTTGCTATTCGAAATATTAATTATTTTATAAATAAACACGGATGTTAAAGGCTTTGATGCAAACCGAATATTAAAATTTTTTAATAAAAATGAAGTGATGAATATGAGCGTTACAAATACAGGATGATAAATATTTTTGAAACAAATAACATATTAATTGCGTTACAATTATAGAACCGTAAATATTTGTGTTACAAACACAAGAAAGGAAACATACTTGGTGCAGGATATTGCACATTTCACAGAAATACAGAGGATGAGTACGTATTATTAAAACAATTTTTGAAACTCACAGCATAAAGTCCACGTTGTCACATCCAATTTTTTGTCCAATAAGTCCAACTATCCCCCCCACACCCACGGAGATAATTTTAAACAAGCTTTTATGTCACTTTGTCAAATGCTTTCTAAAAATCCAAATATACGAAATCTACACCCCGTGGCCTTATCTACATAAACAGTAACCTCTTTAAAGAATGTCAAAAGATTAGTAAGGCAAGATGTTCCCATAATGAAACTATGCTGTCTAACCAACATAATTTTTACTTTCCAAACCCTTTATTAGATGTTCAAAAACTTTTCCCGCCATTAATGTACAGTTAATAGGCATATGATTACAGGGACACTTTTTATCACCTCCCTTGTAAAGAAGAGTTAACATTAGACAACGTTCAATCTTCTGGCACATGCCCACTGTAGAAGGACTGACAAAATAATTCAATAAACCTCAGCAGCTTTCCACAACACTAACAAAACCTACAAGCAAAATTCTTCACTAAGGCCATGCATTGTCAAGACAGTGATTTACACCATTGAGCAAATGCCATTTTAAATTGGGATATTGTATCGTTACAACAATTTTGCAGCACAAAAAACAACAGGGATTGCGTAAAAAGTGATTCAGGAAATAGTCATGGGTGGACAAGTGCTATTGCACACACCAGATCATTTTTTCATGTGGAATAAATACTTGGTGCTACTTGGATCTGTGGTAATCGGTCTAGACAAAAGATGTAGTTATTGGGAAGAGGATGAAGCAAAGAAATACTGTTAGCACCTATTTAAAGACCATGGTGAACAGCACCTGTCATCATAGCCACAGATGGTTGCTACACCAAAGATAACATGATAGGTGGTTGGCATTCATTCATCGTCTGGTGGAGCAACAACAGTCTACCTAAGGTTGGTGGAAGATTCAAAATTTCTGCAAATACCATAAGGAGGAAGCAAGAAACCATAATACAGTCTCTCTTATAGATTACTAAAAGCAACGAACCATAGATATACAGATTGGTTGGTCCCCAAATTGGTGGCAGAAAACAAAGGAACTTTATGGTAAGACACTCACCTAGACATATGTGCCAGACCTTACAGAATAAAGTTCAAAACGAGGAAACCGAAAAACTCGCAGAAGAAACCCATTTATCAAATCGAGCACAAACTTACTAGCAGGATATCGACCTCTTCCTTTTCACGAATAAGGTGAAAGTAGCAATGATGAAAGGTATTTCAGAGAGAATGAGACTACTAGAAAACAAAGTACCGTACAGTACAGGTAGAAAAAGCAAAATATGGGTAATCAATAGGACATTATACAGCTATAAAGCCACTGGTAACACCAGTAACGAAACTCTTTTCTATCTCTTGCAAAGCAGCCCATCTCCACATGAGGGTTTAGTACCTATTGCTGCAACGCCACGGAATTGTAGTTTAGCACTCAACTTCAAAAGGCTCCTTCGTAAAGAGGCCATGTCTTAAGCACAACACTACCCCTTGCAATAGCTTTCCACACTCCACCTAGTGTACGAGGAAAATGGTTTCCCAGTGCCTGTTTGAACAGTCCGATTGCATAGAAATCTGTAGGCGTTGCATCCGACGACTTCATCAGTTTGTCTTTATATGCTTGAGGTATACGAAGTTTGAATGGATATGTCGTGGAAGCATCTTGTGTACATGAAGCTTGTGTCACTTTGCCAAACGGAAATCCTTTTTTATTGCGTTGCATATTGTTACTTGGGGAACACGGACGGCTTTTGCCGTTGATCTTTGTCTTTGCGGATTATCACCTCTTACAAGACGTCATACCTTGGTTATCACGGCTTGAGTCTAACTTTCTGCAGGCCTTTTTCTGGATGATCCTGATAAGCCAAGTTGATCCCCATATTCCTTAGTTTTCCAATGCCATTAAGTACAAGGAATATATCATTTTAAAAATTTTAAATCTCCAATCTGAACATATCTTTATGATCCTAGTGTATGAATATTTTGCTTTGGAAAGAATAGCTACATACCTTACTCAAAACCGATCAATTTTTGGTGGCACCAGACTACCTACAATACGCCAAAACTAAGAGAGTTCACCAGTGGGTCAGCGGTAAGTTTACGGACTTACAACGCTAAAATCCGGGGTTCCCCACAGTGAACAGAGAGCTTGATGCCCCTTGTGCAGCTTTGCTCTTAACAACAAACAAACAAACAGCAGAGTTAAAAGAGACAAACGTTTTTAAAACTAGTTTTA